TGAATTGACTGTATATTTGTGGGCAAAACACGGCAGCCAATATGCGGACATCAATGCGTCATCACATTACTTAAGTCACAAGTGATCTTGCATTTGCTTCCCTCTCGCCTTCCACCTCCTCAAACAGGCAACTGCTGTAGGAGCATCTTGTCCCCCAAAGGCTTCACTGTAATCCTGCTCTTGTCCTCGGGGAGCAAGCCATCTCCCAGTGTAAAAGGGATGCTTTTCTCAGCATCTAACACTGGATTCAGATTGTTCGTTGCCTCCACTTATAAGAGCTCCAATTCTGTAATGAAATGTCATGGACCTGGCATGACTGGCTCATGATGTTACTGTCGCAATTACACCTCGGTGAAGAATCATTAAAGATATAATTAGATCACTCCTGCCCAAACACCGGCAGGGAAAATGTGAAAAGCCTCTGTGTATAGTGGCCTGGGAATGAGAAACACACACGGGCTCCAGTCCTGCTGTCCCAGTAGAGAAAGCGGCAAAAATAAAGCTGTACCGGCCTTGCCCGTGTGAAGGTCTGAGATCATCACAACGCTATGTCCAAACATATCCAAACCCTAAGCTGCAGACAGTTGGACACGATGCTATAACAGAGGCTGCGAATGTCTCCAGTTTGCTGTCACAGTTGATGACTGTGGAGTCAACCAGCGCAAGATTGCATTCGGGGAAACTTTCTCTCCTCCCCCAGCCACTAATCCCTGCACTAGAGAAGCTTTCACCTGCCCACACACACAGGGCAATAGCAACTTCACACTTCACTCTGTAGAATTCAGGTGTTGTGAGTCAGTGCAAGTCAACAACAACAAGCGTCCCAGAGAGCTTGATCATGGTGGAGTGCGACACCGAGCCAGGGGGAGGTGGGGGATGCATGATTGTAGGCAGGGTCAAAGAGGAAGGCCTTTGGGCACCGGGGATGGAGAAGGAAGGCAGAGCAGAGGGATAGAGGAAGAGTGTTCCAGAGTTTCATAGTGGCTGAAAGTGCAGCCGCTGATGGCGGAATGGAAGGTGCGAGGGACACGCAGAAGGCTGGAGCCAGTCGAGAGGAGGTAGTGGGTTGGGGGATAACCAGGTCGGAGAGGTAGGGAGGTGCCAGGGCATGAAGGGATGTGAAAAACGAGCATGAGGATCTTGGAAGTCCCATTACTCAGCCACATTATGTGGATATTTGGGAACCTTTCTACCAAAATGTAACAAAATTGAGTAAAGCCTCAATGTCATTCCATCCATGCTAACATTAATCACGTGCCCATTTTAACTTTGTTTGAAACTGCCTCGGAGTGTAATACCTCAACTGGAAAGACAACTATATTAAGCCAAAGTGAAATGAACCACTGGGCTGAAAACACTTCTATTTCCATGCAGTGTATTTTGAGAGTTCTGTAAAAAGCGTGCCACAGTAAATCAGGATTATGTTTCAACAGCTGTTGCCTGAATAGTCTCTGCAGAATAGTCCCAAGAGATAAGCCAAGATTTCCAAACACCTTGGCTCAAGTGGTTATTGTCTGCAAATCAACCTCATCCAGAACATCTCAAAAATCTGTGACCGAACCTGGACTGTGAAAAACCACAACTTTCTGGCCAATTTTTCTGCTCAGAGCCGCTGCCCATGTGAGGCGGACGCTTAACATCATTGCATAATAAAAAGGTGATAATTCGTAATTTCACTCTCAGAAGCCAGAAATTATTATAATCTTTGCTTTGATTTAGGGCCTTTCACGTCAAGAGGAATCAAAATGCTTCATGAAGTTTATTGTAAGTTGTTGCGTATGTGCATTTTGTAGGTAAATGCAGCAGCCAATTTGCAATGTTCCATGGACAGCCATGAAGCTAATGATCAATTTTATCTGGAGATTGTTGGCCTCCTTATTCTTTTCAAATAATGCCATAGGATCTCTGGCATCCACTTGAATAGGCAGGACATTGGTTCAATGTCTCATGCAAAGGATAGCACCACTAACAATGCAACACTCTCCCAACACTGTAATGTTTCACCCACAAACTGTAGCCAATAATTCACTTTACCATATATTCTGTGAGGTGCTTTGAGACGTCTCGAATACGTGATAAGGCGTTATATCAAATGCAAGGATTATTATTATAATGGAGTTTCAGCCAAGGTTGTGTGATTTCAAAGTCCCAATGCAGGACTTGAACCCAATCCTTCTGACTCAAAGATAAGATCGTAGGCTGACATCCAGGATGGTTAGGGACAGAACTGAGGATATCAGACACATGCAAGTTGTTTTTCAAAGAAAGGTATTTTTTCTCCCAGTTATCCAGTGTTAAACCCTCCTTGCCCATCTTCACACCTGAAGAGATTCCTCATCCACTCTCTCCCTGGCTTGGCATCAAGCTTCACCACTGTTTAGCGCTCCAACACGTTACCCCGCATGGAAGGCGTTAAAAATATTCACTTAATTTCTAATGAATCTGATTGATCTCATCAGTTCTGTGAAGCAACTCCACATGTTTCATTTAGATGAAAGATACTGTAGAGTATAAATGTAAATCATTTGCATACCAAAGTCCTAATGAGTAGGGTGGTCCTAGCTGGACAAGTAGTGGGAAAGCTTGCCAGACAGCAATATTAATGGCAAGATGTGCAGTTTTAGCTGGTTAGACTCCAGCAGTTACCCCAACACAGACTCTGGGGTCCCCAAGCCAACATGGGCCTAATACTCTCCGGAATTAGGTAAGCAGAATGCGTCCCTCAAGGGAGAGAGTGCACATTCGGTTCCAACGATCTAAGGGATGCATGGAAATCTCAGCTTGTTTTGGATACTCTTAAGCACGGTGATGGGTTTCCACATGTATCAGACACCCAACTGGGGAGAAAAAAACTCTTGGGTGTTAGATTTAAGGCAGATCGCAGGGCTGCATGGACCTAACAGTGCGTACAGCTGTCATAGATGTAAAAAGTAGGAAGCTAGTGCGTTCCCCACAACATTGACATTTCTCATTTTGTTAAACCCAACAATTCAACTGAGAGAATATGGAAAGGGAAGATGGATGAGAAAATACATTTATGAGACAGAAACATAGTAAGTGAGACAGTTGGATTTTCTAGATCAGTGAAACATGGTGTGTTCCTGCTGAGAGTCAGTGGAGGCTGGAATGGTTCCAGTAAATGGATCTAATCCTCTTGTATTCGCTGTGATTTATGACCGAGAGTTGGAAACACAATCTACGCTTATCTGGAGGAAGTATGTTTTTTTTCTTTTATGGAAACCAAGCAGTGAGGTGTTATAAAGGTCAGAATTACATTCCCCTCTCACCTTCTGAGGTGCCTGATGAACACAGGATTTGTTTTGATCATGAAGCTTTCAATATAGCATCTGGTCACGTCATTTAAACGTCTTAAAAACTCTTCCCAGGATGTACTGTAAACTGTGGCAACTGTATTTTGCTGCTGAATACAACAGCAATTTTGTACACAGCAATGTCCCACAAACAGCCACGAAATGAATGACCAATTTAATCTTGGGGACTGTTTCCCCAGCACATCAGAAAGAAATCTTTTTTTCAAATTGTGTCATGAGGTCTTTAACGTTTACCTGAACAGGACCTCAGTTTAATGTCTCATCCAAAGAACAGCATCTCCAGCAACGCAGCACACCCCAGCACTGCACTGCAGCCTCAGCCAGGACCAAGAGCTCAAAGTCCCAGTGTCTGGAGCTTGAACCCACAACCTTGTTATTCAGAGGCAACATTGCTACCAATGGGTCAGGCTGACATCTGTGAACCTGTAATTTCAACCCATTAATAAAGTGAATCTCTTGTAGCTGTTCTGAATAATCCAGCACTTTTCATAAATTGGAACGGCCAATTAATTCAAATTTTTGCTCTTTTTCTCTCTCCTGACAGCCAGCGGAATCTGATGGGCGATGATGTCCATAGTAAAGAATTACTGACACATCGCTCTGAGTCACAGACCACATTTAGTGCCAAATTAGGAGCTCTGCCGTGGGCCAATGTCTATTAGCAATTTGTTTGGAGATGGACCAAATGTACCTTCCAGCCAGCAGAGGGAGAGCAGCAGTCTCCCAGCAGTGAGTGGTGGAATGTGGCCCATCTACAAACAAAGAATCCAAACCTTTCTCAGTCTGCTTGACTTGATCGTCATCTCTGGCTCTGCCCTTTGCAGCCCCCTGGATACTTGAGGCATTCTGCTTATGACATATCCTCATAACATTCATGACACTTTAAAGCAACTCCCTCTGCTAAGCACTTTGAGAACGTGACGTGATAAGGTGCTATATTAAATGCACATTAAAAATAGCAACCAACACTCACCAACCACTCTAGCACCCTGTCCCCACACCCAGCACCCAGTTACACCCCAATACAACCTATGTACGAAAAAGTAAAAAGATAAAAAGTAGCAACAACGTCAGGCAGGAGTAGACTGTCCAGCACTGACCATCTGCAATTCCCCACAAGGTTCCTTTGATGTATCTGCCTCTAAATTTAGTAACTCAGGATCATGTTGTTGTCTAGTTTCTTTTGGAAATCTTCTGTAGGTTCTTCCTTCGCTGCTTGTGTTGCCTGTCTGATCATCCTTTTACTTAAAAAGTCTCGAACCTGCGCCTAATACTCTTTGGAATTAGGTAAGCAGGATGTGTCCCTCCAGGGAGCGAGAGCGCATTCCATTCCAACAATTAATCTATCTCTGGAGTTTCCATGTTGGGGGTGGAGCTGCACTCAATTCTCAGCTTGGTTTGGAAATTCTTAAACACGATGATGGGTTTGGCTTGTGTTAGACTTGTGACAGGTTGACCAAAACAAAGTCGTCTACATTTCCTCCTCTCTTTTGCTGCCCTTTTCACACTCAACAACAATAAATTACATTTACGCAGCGTCTTTCACGTCGGGAGGATGTCGCAAGGCGCTGGACTTCACATCAGTGGGCCATTCAATGGATCAATTGCCTTCTTTTCAATCGAGTCTACGTCCAAAAGACAGACAAGAGCCTAAATAAGCCTCCTTACCTGTTTGCCCTTTGGAAATGGTGCCTGGCTCCGGTGAAACTCCACTGCTTTCTTCACGGTCTGCACTTCCCTCTGCAGAAAGGAAAGGGAACAGAAACCAACCAGGTTAGGCTTGGCGTCGGTACAAGAGTTTAATATTTTGGTGTGATTTTTTATTAGACAATTCTCTCCCTTCCCTCTACCCCTACCATAGACTCCAGCTCTGGAATATTGTTTCAGGAGCACAAAATAGCGCCTCCAACCACGGATAATCTTCTTGTCTAATTATCTGTGAACTATTCAAGCTCAATTCTACCCACAGCTGATGTCCACCCACCATATCTCATGATAAGCTAGAGAGGACAGCTTGGCCAATTGCATTATCCTAAATATTTCACCAGAGGAGACCAGCTAACTAAGCAGATAATAACAACAACAAATGACATTTACACAGCGCATTTTACGTCGGGAGGACATCCCAAAGCGCTGGACTGTCAGGGATTTGAACCTGAGCTGGGAGTTGGGATCAGGAGGGGTGGAGGGCAGGGAGGGTGGGTGACCAAAGGCACGGTTGAAGAGGAGGGGTTTTGAGATGTGCCTGAAAGGGGGCAAGGGATGGAGGAGGTGAAGGGACTGTGGATGGCGTTCCAAAGGGTGGGGCAGTAAGGCTGAAGGCCCGATCGCCGATGGGGACGTGGAGCAGGCCAGAAGCTGCTGAGCAGAGGGAGCAGACAGGTTGATACGGGGTCAGCAGGTCACAGAGGTAGGGAGGGGCAAGGTCATGGAGGGCCTTGGAGGTGAGGATGAGGATTTTGAACCCTATGCTCTGGGGGATGGGGAGCCAGTGGAGCCGGGCGAGGGTAGCGGGTGATGAAGTCACGAAGCCTGGAAAGGGAAAGGTCACGAGCTGCAGAGTTCTGGGTGAATTGCAGCTTGTGGAGGGAAGAGTTGGGAAGGCCGACAAGCAGAGAGTTGGTGTAGCCAAGCCGAGATGTGATGAATGAGTGGATGAAGGTCTCAGGGGCCTGAGGGGAGAGGCAGTGGCGGAGCTGGGCAATGTTGCAGCGGTGGGGGTCATGGCCCAAACTTCAGTTTTGCAGTGGGTTTGGCCCTATACAGCACAGCTCAGGGTCTTTACCCACTAAAGGAAAATAAGCTAAAACAGGAAATATAAAATTTCAATACAACGAGAAAGAGAAAAAAAAGCAATGTGCAACGTGCTAATTATCACACACTGATCCCACGGCCAGGAATATAGGCAATCTCCACTTCTCTCACGCTTAAAGGACACACAGCAACAATACTTAAGCGGGAATGAACTCAACTATTCCCCCCAAGTCCTAGGGGGAGGGGCGGGGGAGTGTGTTTAGCAGCTTTGAGTCCCCAATGCAGTGGTCAAGGTCACGTTTCAGCCACACTTTTGGTCCATGGGATAATTATCGCATCACATCGCTAATCTCTCTTCCTTCCCTTACGAGTGGAACAGATAAAGATGGAACCCAGCCTGAGTCCAGGCGATGCTCAGCCTGTTACCTGCAGAGCTCACAAAGTCCTCGTCGTCGGATTCTCCCAGGTAGCGTTGCCAACGGGAGTGCCTCCAGTCCAGCTCCACCTCCTCTCCCAGGGGCACTTCATCCAATACTTTAGAGGCATTTACAATCTGGAACGAAACCCAACATAGTCACCTTATTTAGCAGCGGTTTAAACCTCATTGAAGTGGCACGTTCTCAAAAAGTCCTGTAGGGTAGTGGTGAGCCTGCTCGCCTTGCAAGCGAGAGGACCCGGTGTGATTCCCGAGTGGGGCAAAACCTTAGGTTTCTCCTGATAACTCGATAACACAAGTTCCCTTACTCCATGCAAACGCTTCTGTTTACTGATCCGGTTGTAGGATCACTTTCCGGGGGTGATAATCCCTCCAAAAAATTGGGTCACTCAATCCATTACTGTTTGTGGGACATCGCTGTGCGCAAAATACACAGACAATCCACTTTACATATACTCTGTGAAGGGCTTCGAGGCATCTCAATGACGTGATAATGCGCTATATCAAATGCAAGGATTATTAGCATTATAAACCGTGCAGCGCTTGGTTACGGCAAGAAATGTGGCCGCGGTTTCCATTATTTATGGTTAAATACCGAGCCGCCATGTCTTGTGGATTCCACTGGTCAGGAATCCGCACCTCCTTAGTTAGGGAGTGGGAATTGTGTGTACGCAACAGATTGACAAGCCAATGTACACATATTATACAGTAAACTCCTGATAACTCGAGCATGGCTCAACCTGTCACTCCCTCTTAGGTCATCGTCCTGTCAATATCCCGGCTGGATTTCTTTAAGTATTTATATATAAGCCCAACTCAACCACTCCTGATAACGTCACTGAGCTTTTCCCTTGGAGTGACGAGTTTACTGAATTTACTGTACTAATAATAAAAGGTACGGAGAAAGAGCAAGGGAATGGGATAGAGTAAATACAATAAATTTACATTTATATAGTTCCTTGCACGTTGGGAGGACTTCTCAAAGCATGAAAGCTAGTTGCAGAGGGGAAGCTCAGCCAAATACGCTGGGGAGGATGGACTCTGTAATCCCATCTTGGATTTGTAACGTGAGGAATATTCTACGAAGCTTCTTCCTCTCCTCCTGCTTTACCAAGCGACTGGTTTACAGATAATTACAGAACAAAGTCACAAGCCAGCTGTATTCACATCCATCCATCACAAGAACAGAACACACGGTGGCTGAGAACCAAGTTAGCATTATACCATTCCACAAGTGGATGAAACACAGCGCACAGCAATGTTCCACAAACAGTCGTGGATTGTGTGACTGACCACATTTTTTTTGGAGGGATTGTTACTTCATGTTTAAACCTCAATTCAGGTTTGAACTTGATTCCACAGCTCACACACAGAGAGAGATTATGACAGATATTTAAACCAACCGCCAAGTGTTCAGTGTTTAGCGGCATGGCTTTGTGTTTCTCATCAAAGATGTAACAGCCTCAAAAATAACTAAGTGAACATTTAGGTATCTGTGCTGTCTGAATATTGTTGTACAGCCCCCGCCACCCCCCACCTGTGCCACAAACTCCATGCCCACCACCACACCTCCTACGCCCCTGCCACCCCCTACCTGTGCCACAACCTCAAAGCCACTGCTACACCCCTACCACCCCCCGACCTGTGCCACAATCCCAAATCCCCTGCCACACCCCTGCCACCCCCCGACTGTGCCACACACGGCAGCCAATTCCTCACAGCAGTGTCCCGCAAACAGTCATGGACTGAGTGACCACATTTGTTTTCAGGGATTACTCCCGGAAAGCCATCCCCCAATCAACTAACAACTGGGTTCCTCCCTACTGCTGGGTAACCAGAGGCGTGTGTGTGGAGTAAGGATACTTGCCTAAGGTTTCTCCCCGCTCGGGAATCGAACGTAGGTCCTCTCGTCTGCGAAACGAGTGCTCTAACCACTGAGCTACAGGACTCCACGATAAGCAAGAAGACAGTTTAACGTGTTACCGAGAAGAAGGCACCTCAGACATCGCAGCGCTCCCCCAGTGCTGCACTGGAGTCTCAGCCTAAGACTGCGAGTTCTAGCCCGAACTTAAAGCTTTTGGCCCAAAGGTGAGACTGTTATGAACTGAATGAAGTTGCCACCAATGCTGGAGAAGGAACTAAATTTGACTACGTTTATTAAAATATCTATGGTAGCTTTTAATTACTGCTTTAATTGCAGTTTGCTGATACTATAAATTTAACAAGTGCAAACAGATGTGAAACAGGACGGAGAGTAAGGCGAGGCTGATGTGTTCTGATCAGACCACTCACCCACTAGTGCCTGCCTGCTGACTATTTTATTTCAAAGAATTCAAAGACGCAGCAGTTTTAAAAGAAAAAAAGCAACCGAAATATTATTCTAAGCTGCTCAGTCAGTGGAGAGAGGAGGATTTGGAACAGACAAAGCTGTTTAACACACTGGCAGCTCACTGGCAGCAAGCTCTGATGATGGGGCAGGTGGATATCAGAAGTATCATGCTGCATATTCTGTGTAATACCATCGTGGCGATTTGCCATCAGCCCAGACAAGCCCATCCCTGGGAGAGACAGACGGACTGAGACACAGACTGAGGCCCATCCTTAGGACATACGTGCATGTAAAGATCTGCACAAATAGACTGTGGCGCAAACAGACTCATAGAAAGACAAACAGACGTGAACAAGCAAAATCATCTGCACAGGCAGGCCATACCTGGGACAGACAGGCACAGACTACATCAGTGACTGGTGCACACAGATTGACCATCCTGGAACTGATGTGCTGATAGTATCTGTCAGTAGATAGGCAGGTCAGGGCGAAACCTTGGGCAAGTTTCCTTACTCCACACGCCTAATAATAATCCCTCCAAAAAAACAAAACAATAATAAATTGGTCATTTTTAATCTACGACTGTTTGTGGGACATTGCTGTGCGCAATTGGCTGCCGCGTTCGCCCACAAATATACAGTCAATTCACTTTACAGTGTGTTCTGTGAAGCGCTTTGGGACGTCCTCCTGACATGAAAAGCGCTATATCAAATGCCAGGATTATTATTATTATTATTATCTAATCTTGCCTTTTAACCTTCTCAGCTCTTGTCAAAAAACCTTCAATTCTAGTCTCCCGGGGATTGACATTTGATCCCTGACGACATCTAATTATAAAGCCTATTATAACAATAATCATTGTACTATCATATCAAAACATCTCAAAGAGTTTCACAGGGTTTTACTGTACAGTCTAGTGACATTGGCAGCTGCTCATCAGACTCCCCAGCTCCTCCCAACCCAAAGCTGCAGATCATCTGGAGTTCTGCAGCCTGTCGCTCTCCCACAGCAGACTCAATGAGCTGACCATACCGTCCTCGTTTGGCTCCAGTGCCTCTCCATCTCCCAACGGATCGAATTCAAGATCCTCGCCCTCACCTTCAAAATCCCTGGTTGGCCCTCAGCCTTCCCAGATACTCAGTGAACACCAAACTGCTTCATATCCTTCCCCAAACTGCCTCCCATTGTGGATGAGCTGTCAGCCATTCTGCGGCCAATCTCTGAGACTCCAGTCCTGCAGTCTCTCCACCTCACCCCTCCCAACCCCAACATTAAAGCCCATCGGTTTTGACCACGCCTTTAGTCATCTTTTTCCCGTTGCCCCCACTCTCCTCAACTCTCCCCCCAGCAGCTAATCATCTGTGTGAAGTGCTTTGAGATCTCCCCCATTGCAAAGATGTGATATATAGACATATATAAATGTAAATTTTTGTTACTGTTTGATTATCCACCTGAACAGGGAACAGGAAGTTAATAAGCTTAATATCACGTCCAGGGTTACAATAAGCCCATCCTTTCCCACAGAAAAACTTAGATCCAGTGAAATTTAGGCAGTCTTTGTGTGCTATCTTTCCTATGTTCTAATGCACAGCTGACTATAATAATAATCCTTGCATTTGACACAGCGCCTTGTCGTGTCTTTGAGACGTCGCAATGTGTTTCACAGGATATACTGTAAAGTGAATTGACTGCGTGTTTTGGGCACAAACGTTCATTTTGACTGTTCCGGTTAGCTTTGACATTAGCACTTGAACTCCAGCTTTCTTTCAATTTTGCTGCCACCATTTAGCTTTTGAAAAGATGCTCTGTCTCCCATCAAACACAGAGAGGATTATTAATGGCTCCACTTGTATCACTGTGATGAATTGTGCTGAAATTTCACAGTGTCTGTGAAATTAATATCCTTTTCCCGTTCCCAGCATTTCCATTTGCTCTGCTCGTAACTGCTGCCAATTAAGGCAGTCTCATTAGGTTTAAAATAAGATGAGAATAAGGCAATGGAGCATCAGTATGAGTGGAGTCCTGTAGCTTAGTGGTTAGAGCAAGCGAGAGGACCTGGGTTTGATTCCCGGGCAGGGAGAAATGATGGGCAAGTTTCCTTACTCCACATACCTCTGTTTACCGAGCAGTAAGTAGGAACCCAGTTGTTAGTCGATTGGTGGATCGCTTTTCTGGGGTAATAATCCCTTCAAAAAACCAAAAATAATTTTGTCACTCAATCCACGACTGTTTGTGGGACACTGCTGCGTTTCACCCACAAAATATACAGTGAATCCACTTGACAGTATATTCTGTGACGTGGTTTGAAATGTCTCGAAGATGTGATAAGGCACTATATCAAATGCAAGGATTATTATTATTATTATATATGAGCTGCCTCCTGATTTCACTCCTAAATGGCCTGGCTCTAATTTAAGGTTATGCCCCTTGTTCTGGATTCTCTACCAGAGGAAACAGATGCTAGATCAATTAACATTATCCAGACTGAGGTGGATAGATATTTGTTAGCTCAGGGTATGAAGGGATATGGAGCAAGGACCGATAAATGAAGTTGAGGTACAGTTCAGCCATGATCTTATAGAATGGTGGAACAGGCTTGAGGAGCTGATGGCCTGCTCCTGTTCCTCTGTTCTGGCTCAGAAGTAAGAGCGCTACCAACTGAGCCAGGCTCAGAACTTCTAGTTTCAGATTTCTGGCACAGAAACCAGCAATTAATATCTGCCACTGTGAGCAGAACACACTACAATTCAGCACAGACGCCCGCTTTACAATGCTCACACAGAGAGGG